AAAATTTCTCCCCCAAAATTCAACTCATAGACTTTTCAGAACATATATTGATTGTTTAAAATTTGTGACTTACATGAGTGAGCTCATTATCTAGGACTCCATAGAGAACATTTGTCTGAATTGAATCAAAATACGATTCTAGGTGTGATAGCTCTGGTTTTTGTTTCTCTGTCGACACTGCAGAGGCCTTCTCGCTGGGCTCCTCCTGCTTGCTTGGTGTCCTTCTCCTCCACTAAGGCCATTTTTCCACACTGGTGATAGAGAACGGTTGCGGAGGGATGGCTTGTTTCTAAAAATCTAATTCTTTCACTGGCTGCTTAGTAATCTGCCACAGTGCCTTTTCATTTTTCTCTGAACACTGTTTTTGGTGATGGCTTGTTCTAGCAGCATGGTCTCTTGCTTGTCTGTCTCCAGCCACATCCTGTACAGTGTTCTCGTTCTTGCATACTCAGACTTGTCCTGGGAATACTGACTGTCTGCTTGCCTGCTCTCTCCCCATAGCCCCCTGCCCACACCTTTTGGCTATCCTGATGAGGCTTTCTCCTCTGAGATGAGCTCTCATGGTACTGTCTCTCATTTTGCTTTGTACCACTTATTAGCATTGTAGCTTCCACAATTATTTGTGTGTCTTTCATTACTACCCATGACTCTCACCAGAGCCTCAATTCCTCAGGCTTCACACCTGCTTAGCTCTTACCTATTTAAGATAATGTTTGCTGTGTGGAAGGTGCTCGGTTGATAGCAGTTGAATGAATGAATACATATATGATGGAGTTCTTGTTCGTATCAGCTAGAAAGAAAACACTCCTGTTGAATGTTAGTGATAAAGAGTAAAGGTACTAAATAACACTTTGATTTGTGGCACTGACAAAGATCACATAGAATCACCCTGCACGAGCCAGCTTTGGGTGTCAGTGCAGGCTTTTCGTTAATGTGTCAGGTCAGAGCCTGTGCAGTTTATTTTGCTTTATTTTAAAAAGTTGATTTATGGGCCTGGCAGAGTAGCCCAGCGGCTGTCCTTGCCTTGCACTCACCAGGATCCAAGATAGGCTCCAGTTTGTGTCCCAGTGGCCCGGCTTTCCACCCAGCTCCCTGCCTGTGGCCTGGAAAAGCAGTACAGGTTGGCCCAAAGCCTTAGGACCCTGAACCCACATGGGAGAGCAGGAAGAAGCTCCTGGCTCCTGGTTTTGGATTGGCTCAGCTCCGGCTATTGTTTTTCCTCCTCTGTATATCTGACTTTCCAGTAAAAATAAATAATAAATCTTTTTTTAAAAGTTGATTGATTTAAAAGACACAGTTACAGAGAGAAAGAGAAACAGAGACAGACAGATCTTCTATCATTGCTTCACTTCCCAAATTCCCGCTGTGGCTGGAGCTAGGCAGATCCAAAACCAGGAGCCAGAAGCTTCTCCCAGGCCTCCCATGTGGTTGTAAGGGCCCTCACATTTGGACTGCCTTCCTGTGCTTTGCCAGGCCAATTAGCAGGGAGTTGAATTGGCAGCGGAGCATCTGGGACCCCAAACCATGGCCGCAGGGGATGCCAGGGCCACAGGCAGCAGCTTTACGCGCTGCGCTACAGCTTCAGCTCCTTTGCGGCTTCCACCTCTCTGGTAACAGGGGACTCGGCATTACTTCTTCTCTAGATTGGCCTGTGTGTCTTTTCTGTCCACCTCTGTTGGCATCTGTTGCTATGTTTGTGAGGCTCATCTATCCTCATGGATCCCTGGGTACTCCTCCAGCTTGTTTTCTCCCAGCTCCTGCTCTTGTGGACTGGGTTCCAGGGCTGTTGATTCTGGAAACATCTCATTTCTCCCATATTTGCATACCATTTCTCTTAAGAACATTTTCCCCCCACACATACTCCCACAGCTAGCTGCCATGGCTGTTTATTCCTCATTTGTAGATCTAATGGAAACCTCTTTGACACCCCCACACCTTACGTTGTGTTTCTTGTTTGTGTTCCCACACCCTTCTTTGTCCCTCAAGCAAGTCCTGTTGCCTTTGATGGTGATGTGTTAATCTAGACTGTTCATGAAAATGGAGTGCATGCATTAGCATGCTGATGCCCTCCCCTAATCAGCACCTTGACTGACCTGTAGCGAGCGTTATCTACATTTTTGATGGAGTAAGTGTAAAGGCCCCTGCGTTACCACTCTCTAAGCCAGCGCCTGTGCATATTGTCTATATGATGGCACATCTTCCTGATAGGCCCCAGCTTGTCAGTATCCCTCCTTCAAAGAGGAGCTGAGTATAAGTCAATGTTTCAGGTAAAGTCTGACCACTAAGACTATATGAAACATGTTATCTCTATGATTTTAGAATCCTAGGGAATATATATGTATATGAAATATATATATATATATATGTGCCTAGCATGAAATTTCTTTCTCTTCTCTCTTGTGAACTAATTTTTGAGCTGTGGGCGTTGTCAGTTTTTCTCAGTACTGCTTTCTTAAAGGTGTTAATGAAGTGAATTTAAAGGAATGGTGTTTTGGAAACAGTTGTTTGATTTAGTCAAGCTGTTAATCTGTCCTCCAGGTTGCTACCAGCTATCTTAAGTGAGAACTGATGGTCAGAATGCTCTTCTTGATTTTTGTTAACCAATCATATATTTCTTTTCCTGGTCTTTTCAGAAATTGTTTCAATGATAAAGAGGATTCAGAAGTGGAAAGAAATCTTTAACTTGCCTTTTGGGGGAGGCAGAAGGTATAACAGTGTTCACAGCTTAGTGTATAGCTGATAGAACAGGAAAGACTTTTTGAGAGAAATGTAAGAGAGTAGAAGAAAGAAAATATAGGGCAGGTGTTTTGGCTACTCTTTTTTTAAAGATTTATTTATTTTTATTGGAAAGTGATACATGCAGAGAGGAGGAGAGACAGAGAGGAAGAACTTTGTCTGTTGATTCACTCCCCAAGTGGCCGCAATAGCCAGAGTTGGGCCGATCCAAAGCCAGGAGCCAGAGGCTTCTTCCAGGTCTCCCATGTGGGTGCAGGGTCCCAAGGCTTTATGCTATCATCTGCTTTCCCAGGCCACAAGCAGGGGGCTGGGTGGGAAGCAGGGCTGCTGAGATTAAAACTGGCGCCCGTATGAGATGCTGGCGCATGCAAGGTGAGGAATTTAGCCACTAGGCTACCACACCCGGCCAAGTTTTGGCTACTCTTAAGAAAGAAAAAATGTTGGAGTTAAAAAAAAAGATTTTGGGGTCAGCTGACTAATTCTCTACCTGTAAGCACTGGCATCCATATGGGCACCAATTCTTGTCCTGGCTGCTCCCTGCTTTTGGCCTGGGAAAGCAGTAGAAGATGGCCCAAGTTCTTGAGGCCCTGCACTCGTGTGGGAGGCACCCAGTTCCCATCCTTCCCAGACTGAGTTATAGGCTAGTAGGGGAGTTCCCCAGATTCTCCGACCAGGCCTGATCCTAGCTGCAGACCTCATGCATACCAGTGGCCCTGCTTGGCACAGTCTGCTTGCAATCCCAGCCCTTGAATGCACCGTGGGTGCTACAGCATCACCCACCCAGTCTTCTCCTAGAACCAGTTCCCACCCCCATGAGTCAGGTGGGTTCCTTTCAAATGAGTTCTGTGGTCCAGCCTGGCTTGTTACCACCCCAGCTCTCCCCATAAACCAGTGTAGCGCGGTCCCACAGAGGGTGAGTGCACAATTCCCCCTCCAGAATCTGCCCCAGATCTGGTTCTCACATTGTAGTGAATGCTGCGGCCCAGCCTGACTTGGCCGACCCCCTGCTGCAACACTCACAGGCAGGTACTATCCCTGCATATCCCTAAAATAATAATAATAATAATAATAGAATAGGCAGCTGTGCTGGCACACTGATATAGTTAACATAGATTTGGCATCAACCAGGCCCAGAATGTCTATTGGCTGTTTTTCTCCCAGACGTCTGACACTTGCCTAGGCACAAGGCAACCTATGCAATTGCTTACCTTTGGGGAGAAGATCTGTCTTATTTTAAAACTAATGAGGAAGCCCTCTTAAATTTTCTGTTTAGAGGCTTGACAGGCAAGGATTTTTCTTAACAAATGGATTAACTGTTTTTGTGTGTGGTGATGCTAACTTAATTAGCTTAAACTGATCCTTTTTTGTGGAACTCACCAAGGAAGTCTTAATAATGCAATGAGGTATTATAATACTAATTTTTGATGTTTCCTTACCACATTCAAGAACAGTTTGAATATTATTTATGCTTGCTGTAATATATCTGAATATTTGATTAGTGTGTGAGCTTTGGTCCAAATGTTAATTCATTATAATATATTACCCATAGTTTTCTTTCTTTTTAATGATGGTGCCATTTAGTTCTTGTGTGACAACCATTTGTAATACTTTAAAAAGAAAATCTATCTCTGTGAATTATAGTTAGCCTCAGTTATAGCAGAAATTATGAAAGTTCAATCCTCATAATGAAAGAAATATGACATTCTGAGTTAAAGCCCTATTGTTGCGTAGAATGCTAATGCTTTCCATAAGTAATAGGAACTGGCAAGATTTCTGCTGATGCCATTCATCTCCATTTACCATCAAAAAAATTCTTAAGCTGTTTTGGATTTGATTTAATCTTTTTCATTCTCTGAGTTATTTTTCTGCCTCTGAAGACAAATTATTTTTATAGCTCCTCTTTACTACCATCACCACCAAATAATATTAACTTCATCCTAGCCATATCGTTTATGCTGCTGCTACTATCAGCTGCCACAAAGCACGTTAAAGCCACAGACTCTTACCATCAGAGCAGGTGGAACATAAACATTGGAAACGAGCCTCAAAGTCTCAAGTGGCCACGTTGAGAGGACTGTGTCTAGCTCTTTTCCTGAACTCGTGGAGTCCACATGTTAATTCTTTCTCCCCCCAATCCTGTTCCTTTTCAGTAAGTGCCCATGTCTGCTTTTAGAAGTTTGGACCTATTTGTAGCCGTCTCCTCACCTGAGCTGACCGATCCTGAGTGGGTCTGTTAATCCTTTCCCTTCTTCTCTTGTTGACAGGGGACTTGTTCATGACAGCCGGCACAACCTCCAGTTGAGGGGTTTGGTGGTGCTGCTTATTTCCAAGGCAGCTGGGCCCAGCACTGTGGACGTCTCTTGTCAAAACTATGACATGGTCAGTGGGATCTACTCATGGTAAGAAGAAATTAGTGTTTTCACATTGCTCTCTAAGCCTTTTCTTTTTTTTTTTTTCCTGTCTTTTTTGTTTTTTTGTATTAGTAGATGGTAGAAATCATTACTTTGTTTTTTGTTATTCTCTGATACAAGGAAGATTAAAATGTATTGTGAGACTAGACTGTTGGATTTTTACTGTTCCTTGAAGTCCGGTCCTTAACGAGCCCTATGCTTGATGTTGGTACGGTATCTCCACACGTTCCTCTGTTGGACCTTCTACCATTTTGTATTTGTGACTGTCCTTCCCCCTGTGATGGCAGCATCTTCTCTCTATAGACTTCCCTGTGCTTTCACTACTCACTGTATTTTTTTTTTAAGATTTATTTATTTATTTTTATTACAAAGTCAGATATACAGAGAGGAGGAGAGACAGAGAGGAAGATCTTCCGTCCAATGATTCACTCCCCAAGTGAGCGCAATGGCCAGTGCTGCGCCGATCCAAAGCCGGGAACCTGGAACCTCTTCCAGGTCTCCCATGAGGGTGCAGGGTCCCAAGGCTTTGGGCCATCTTCAACTGCCTTCCCAGGCCACAAGCAGAGAGCTGGATGGGAAGTGGAGCTGCCGGGATTAGAACCAGCGCCCATATGGGATCCTGGCGTGTTCAAGGTGAGGACCTCAGCCACTAGGCCACGCTGCTGGGCTCTACTCACTGTATTTTATGCATTTATATTCAACAGCAAATTTGTAAGTATATGTTAGTTGCTTTCTGCTGCATATAAAATGAACTTAATTTTCTGTTTTGTTTTGTTAAATCACAAATATTTTTAGAAACTATATGAGCAGTAATGTATTTATTCTTATCAAATATGCTTGGCAGTATGGTGAAGGAATACATAAAAGCAACAGTTTGCAGGTAGACTTTGATGTGTGAAATTAAAACCACTCTAAAACATTGATGACAAGACAGTTTTACACACACACACATGAGCATTCCTGAAAGCATTTTGTTTCTTGAAAGGTAGCATAACAGAAAAGAAGAAACAGATCTCTCACCAGCTGGTTCACTCCCAAGCTGGTTACAGTGGCTTTAACTGGGCCACGTTGATGTCAGAAACTATAAGCTTCATCCCAGTCTCCCACATGGGTGACAGGGTCCCACACAGTTGGGGCATCTTCTGCTGCTTTGCCTGGCACACAGCGGCTGGGACTCACTTGACACTTCAGATGGGTTGCCTGTGGTGTAGGTGGAGGCTCAACAGGCTGTTACACAGTGCCAGCCCCTAGAAGCTTTGACTTGTGGCTAATTGACCCTGTTGGTTTACTTTAAAAATCAATCTATATCTTGGGGAGTTTTTCATTGCTAGGAGTCCTGTCCATAAAGGGTTTTCTCCTCCTTCTTTTTCTTCTGTAGTATTTACAGATGACTGTTGGCCTGCTGGCTCTGAAGTCCAGGGATCCTTCCTCATTAACAAGCAAGCATAAGTTGCTGCTGTGGCCTCTGGCTGCCCACAGTGACTCCTCCAGTCAGTGTAATTGTGTAGGCTTTTACCATTTATTCATACAAGCATCTTCACTAAAGGTATATCTTGACATTAGTTCCAACTCCCTCTGAAGTGAGTTGTACTTGTTTAGTGCTTTGAGGTTAGTGACCATTTTTTTTTATCTCCCAGTTATCTTTATAATAACGCCAGTGGTAAGAGTTGTTAGGTCTGCTTCTCTTGAGGAGACAGATTCTGAAATCTTAAGATCTTTTTAGATGACATTGCTGGCAAATGCGAAAAGCTCTCTCAAAATATATCATTTTGTTTTTGTTTTTTCTTGCTTTCATTCCATCTTTCTAGTCTGTTTCAAATAATTTCTTTTGCTTATAGATTAGCCATTAAATTAATATTCTACAAACGTCCTCTTGTACATCTTGAAAGTTTCTAAATGGAAAGTAACTTGGCAGATCTTTGATCTGAGGGTACTTCAAAAAGTTAGTGAAGAATGGCTACCATGAAAACTATGCGTGGATTTCAAGGTGATTTTACCACCAAAATAAAACTTACCTTTTAATTCCATTTTCCCTGAACTTTTTAAAAAAGAATTATCTATTTTTATTACAAAGTCAGATATAGACAGAGAGGAAGATCTTCCATCCAATGATTAACTCCCAAAGTGACCACAATGGCCGGTGCTTCACTGATATGAAGCCAGGAAATTCCTCCAGGTTTCCCATGTGGGTGCAGGGTTCCAAGGCTTTGGGCCATCCTTGACTGCTTTCCCAGGCCACAACCAAGGAGCTGGATGGGAAGTGGAGCTGTCGAGGTTAGAACCAGTGCCCATATGGGATCCCAGCGTGTTCAATTCAAGGACTTTAGCCATTAGGCCACCACGCTGGGCCCTCCATGAACTTTTTAAAAGTACTCTTGAATGTGTACATCTTTCTCTCAAACTTGCTAGCTAGAAAAAAACAAAAATCTAGAATAACAATTAACTCCTTAGATCCTGGAAAGCAGCTTGTCTTCATGTCACCTTTTAGTCCAATTGTCGGCATCCTGTTCAAAGTACTATTGATGTTCAGTCTTCTGACTTTGATCTGACTAGTCAGGCATCACATGCATGTAAGGAATATCAGCAGTGTTTTATTGACACTAATCCCAAAATACCTTTGGAAAACACTAGTTGACACATATAAATGTTCTGTGAATATTTGACCCATCACATCCCTTGTTTTACAGAAGAGATAATCAGTACTAAGGCTAAGATTTGTCTAAAATCTTCCAAGTAGAAAATGACAGTCATGGAATTAAAATTCTATTTTTAATGTAAAATGTGCACCTTTTCTGCTATGCAGGGGCTGTGGTCCATATGCACATGGTATTATGTTTCTAATAAGCAATCACATTGCTTCTAACCCTTCACTTAACGTATTGTTTGGTAGAAAGCCATTGTAACCTGAACAAGTTTAAGAACTTGTAAAAAGGGTAGGTGTACATTTTGAACATGAAAAAACTTTCCAAATGAGTGGGTTTTGCATTCAGGTGTAAAGAAACTATAGTTACCTATTGGGAATAATCCTGACTGCTTTCCATAACCAAACTGGATCTAGTAAATCATTGGCGTGTTTGGGTGTTTTACACATGTGTTAATGTGCTAAATAGTACAGTACTGGGAGAAACCATTAATTTGTTTTTCTACTACTAAAGTAATTTGGTTGGCTCCTGCTTCCTTAATTGTTCAAGTGTAACTTGCCAGAGGCTTGTATTTGTAATGCCATAGTGAATTATTCAACATTTGAGGGAAGTTGGGAGCTTTTTAATTCATCTCCATACTACTGTGCTGGTTTTACATTGTTGGTGTTTCTCTCTCAGAAACTTTTGACTTCACGTCAGACAATGGGACCTGAGTACATTACTCAAGGAAATAGAAGTAAGGTAATCTGTTTTGTTTGGTCAAAGGTTATAACCAGTGCTATAGATGGCTCTAGTGAACTTATCACATAATGGCCAAGACAGGTCAAATTTAGTCTAGAATATAGTAACTACATTTTGAAAATCAGGCAAGAGTGTTCCATTTATAAACATATACTGTAGACTTGCTAATGAAAATGTGGATTTTAGATTTATTATGCCAACCTGTTTTTTTAAAAAGTCAATTGCAAGTCCAGGCTAATGAATATTACTACATTTTTAGATAGCCCTAGTCACAATTGAAAAAAATTTGCACCCCCTATTCTGTTATAATGAGGCATTTTCATTGGATAAAGATATTCAAAGATATTCACTGGAAAGGCAGATTTTTACAGAGAGTAAGAGAGACAGAGAAAGAAAGATCTTCTATCTGCTGGTTCAGTCTCTAAATGGCTGCAATGGCCAGTACTGAACCTATCTGAAGCCAGGAGCCAGAAGGTTCCTCCAGGTCTCCCATTTGGGTGCAGGGTCCCAAGGCTTTACTGCTTTTTTGGCCCACAAGCAGGGAACTGGATGGGAAGTAGAACAGCTGGTCCGTGAACCTGTACCCATTTGGAATCCCAGTGGTTACCAGGCAAGGACTTTAGCTACCAGAGTGCCATACCTGGCCCTGGTTCATTGTGGGTTTTTTTGTTTGTTTTTTTGAAGATTTATTTATTTTCATTGGAAAGGCAGATTTACACAGAGAAAGATCTTCCATCTACTGGTTCACTCCCCAAATGGCCATGGTGGCTGGAGCTGAACTAATCTGAAGCCAGGAGCTTCTTCCAGGTCTCCCACGCTGGTGCAGGGTCCCAAGGTATTCGGCCATCCTCCACTACTTTCCCAAGCCACAAGCAGGGAGCTAGATAAGAAATGGAGCAGCCGGAACACAAACTGGGGTCTATATGGCTTGCTGGTGCTTGTAGATAGATTAACCAGTGGAGCCATCATGCGGGGCCAAAAATGTGCCTTTTCTAACTAATGTTCTTATGACACTGACACATCATACAGAAATGACCCTGAGAGCTGAAGGTGGCCATCTGCAGGCCTTCCCTGATAGGCATCACAAACACATACAGTAAAGAATCAGGGTATGGAGATGAGACAGAAAAGAATGATAGATATCAGATTTTGATGGGCCTGAGAAGTTAGGGCTATTTCCTGCAGAAATAACGAGGAGCCATCCAAGAAGCAACAGGACTTGGAATTTGCAAACACCCTGTGACACTTACTAGTGGGCTTCTGTGTATACTTCCAAAATTTTTCTTTTAAAGATTTTTTTTTTTAATTGAAAAGGCAGATTTACAGAAAGACAAAGATCCCTTTACTGGTTCACTCCTCAAGTGGCTACATTAGCCGGAGCTGAGCCGTGTGGAAGCCAGGAGCTTTTTTGGGGCCTCCCGTGTGTGTGCAAGGTCCCAAGGCTTTGGGCCCTTCTCTGCTGCTTTCCCAGGCCATAAGCAGGGAGCTGGACGAGGGGTGGAGCAGCTGGAATATGAACCAGCACCCATTTGGGATCCTGGAGCATGCAACGTGAGGATTTAGCCACTAGGTAATCATGCCAGGTCTCCAGGAATGTTTTTAAGA